AAACCGAAAATTAGTCATCATGTACAATATGTTAACTCGTCACTCTTGGAACAATCATTGTCTTTATTAAAAAAATTACGCTATTTTTTATGTACATTCGGCCCCATCGGTGATGGAATCTTGACTTAGCCACTGCTAGAGGGTTTCCTCAAATTATTAATTTAAGGAGTTCTACCTCACATAATTTTTCCAAATAAGGGGGTCTTACTAATTTTCCCTATTTTATTTGAGAAAATAAGTAGCACCCCCCTCATTTGGGAAAATCATGTGAGGTAGACCACCATCCAAACAATAATTTGAGAAAACCCCTTTGGCTCAAGTATAGAATTCCTCATACATTTAAATTGTCTAATATACCAATCCTAATTCAATTATTCTTCTCTCTCTCTCTCTCTCTCTCTCTCTCTCTCTCTCTCTCTCTCTCTCTCTCTCTCTCTCTCTCTTCCGTCTGCTCTTTTCACCCCGTTTCTTTTCTCAATATCCGGATATCACCACTCTCCGTCCACTCTTTGTAACCACCATAGCCTACCGTTTCTCGTCCGCCCTTCCATTACCGCCCCCATCTCTCCACCCGTACCACCCACCTTCTGATTCCAATTCTGAGAATAAACTAGAAAGATGTATTTACGGCAGTAGCTCCGGAGGAAGAGAGAACCAACAGTGGATTCACTGGAATTGGTGGTAGAGGACTTAGGCTGTGTTTGATACCACTTAATGAGCGCTTAATGGAAGCCAAATCTTATTCGGTCAGAGGTTTTACTATTCAGCATATTTGGTATACACATCTGAATGAAGACGTTTCTCTCTTACCGATTCAGTTGGATTATTTGGACTTAACCATTCAGAGGTTATACTGAAAGGATTTGGACAAAAATTATCCCTATGAAAGAGATAAATATTTATATATATTTTATATTTGATGGTATTGGGTAGTGGTCTGTACTCATTATCTTGTACATGTGTGTTCTATTCCTAAGGAAGAGATGTATTATTATTATTATTATTATTTACTTTTTGAGGTAATATATATATATATATATATATATATATATATATATATATATATATATATATATATATATATATATATATATATATATATATACAGATATATAAAATGTCGTTTCTATTTTACTAATGTCGTTTTGACTTCAAACCTGATTTTTATATATTTCTATTTTGATTTTGGCAAAATTTGACACACGAAAACTGTATTTCTTTGGGTTATCTTTCTAATCCCACTTACCCCGCTAGAGTGGGTGTCGTGAGACAAATTTATGCATGAGTGAGTCACATTTTGAATTTTAGATATTTAATGATATAATGGGGGGTA